TCTGTTGCACTGATTTTCATCACAAGTGTATCTGGCATTAGGAACAAAGGTGTCCAAGATGAAGCTCAACTTCAAGCACATTTCCAGGTGTCACTATTTTCTTTATAGTATCTGCTTGTTCCAAACAGGATTTTAAATGCTTATCAGAACTGCAATTTACCAAGATCAAAAAATGCAACGGGATAAAGAAATGCAAATGGAGAACAGAAACAGGGAAAATAAGATGCGGGCAAGCTGTGGTCGGTGCACACAACCGTAGGAGTGAAGCCCCAGTGACCAGCACAAAGAAGGAAGAGTGGACAGATACAAACACATGCTCATCAACATGCCAGCAGTTCAGAAGTATAGCTCTCCTTTGTATTATGATCAGAGAGAACCCTCTCCTGTAAGTCTTCACACAGAACACTGCACTGAACAAACACTGTCAGTAACCCTTATATTAGAAATACTCTAAGTGAAGGCTGCAAGCTGCTGCCAGCGGGCCAGAGCCAGCCAGCTGCCAGTGTTTGCAAATAAAATTTTATTGCGACACAGCCTTGCCCATTTGGTTACATACACCTATGGGTCCTTTCTGGCTCTGAGACAGAAGAGCTGCTACAGACCTGACCGGTCACGTCAATCTGCCATGCAGGCCTTTGAACATATTATAAACAAGCAGGTCCAAAGCTATAGCGATAGTCTTACTGCTATTTGTCCTATGGGTAATATGCAGCCTCCAGTAAAGTATAGAATTTAGTGTTGTTACCTGAAGGAGTTAAGATGACCCTGGGTATTTACGCATAAAAATAATAGCTTCTTACGTTCTGTGCTCAACTCTTCAATAGACCCGACAAAGACGTCCTGTGTGAATACTGGCTCATGGTCATTGATATCCAGGACTTTGATGCGGAGCTCTAATGGCTTCTCTACGCTGTTTCCTTTTTCATCCAAAGCGTAACCAGTTAGCTGAAATCATGACGTAATAGACGACATTAGATTTAAGCTAAACTACTTGGTGTCAAACAATAGTAAAATAAAACAGAACTATTACTAAACAACCTACTAATAAATGTAAAACTGTTCTTACCAGAAAAGCTGGTGTTTCTTCTCTATCAAGAATGCTGGTAATGTTCAATTCTCCTGTGTCTTTATTAAAGACAAATATACCAAAAGGTGGCTCTGTGATCCCTTTTCCAGTATATCTGTAAGTAATTCTGAGTCCTCTTTCTTCTGCAACATCAGAATGTATCTGCCGTGAAACAAGAGAGCAGCACCTCATGTCAGCCCAGTGACTCCCATGGGGATGCTCTTCATGGGAGATGTTCCTCTGGGTTGTCACATCACAGGAGGGAGGTGAGAGCAAAGGACTGCAGCAGAGAACCTGGGTTCTAATCCCGCCTCAGCCTCTCACTGATTACTGGCACCAGGACAGTTACATGTGCCTTGGTGTTCCTGTCTGTACAGGGGGGAGTCTATGCCTACCACTGAGGGTTGTCACAAACTTCAGATACTGTTAGGGGCACATGTTGGGGCCATCCAATCATAAGGCAAGAATAAATAAGGCCTCCTTCCTTGGGAGGATTATAATAATCAAGCACCTTGCCTGCTTGGACCGCCTCAGCAGTTTCTCACAGTCTGATCTTCCGTAGTTATTAGCTTCATCCTTTATAAATAATGTTATTCTTATGTCTAACTCTTCATTGGAAAATACGTGTCCACGGCCCCCTCTGGATGTTGGCACTGCTGGCGCAGGGCAGGAGCTGTGAGCTAAAGCTGTGCCCCTCCCCCCAGGAGCTTACACCCCATCGAGGAAATCATAAGCTGAAAGGGAGTAAGGGGCAGAGAGAGCGGGGCTGAGGCAGGAGACGGGACTCTGTGAAGGTGACATGAGCACAGAGGCTCGATGCGAGGACACGGCAGGTATCTGTGGGGAGGGCATGCTAGGCCAAAGGGACAGCAGGTGCAAAGGGCAGGAGGCTGGGACAGGCTGGCATTGGTTTATGGGTGTAGAAGAGTGGGCGATGGAGGGGACGGGAGCTGAGGTCAGAGAGGAGGTCGGGGCCAACAGAGACTAAGAGCTAGTGGAGGCCGGGGTAGGGCTCATTCCTGCAACAACAGTGGGAAGCCACTGAAAGGACCTCCCTGAGGAGGGGGCATGATCTGATCTTCTTTCTCAAAAGATGGCTCCGGCTGCTTCCTGAGAACGGACTGGGTGGGGGTGCAGGAGTGAAAGCAGAGGCAGATCAGGCGTGCTTTGGAAATGGGGGTCAGAGAGGACACTGACTTGGATGGGAGGGTGGCAGCAGAGAGAAGACCTGGGATGCATTTTGGGGTGGAACTGACAATATTTGCTACATCTAGAAAAGCTGGCTAGAGTTACACTGTCATTTACTGACATGGGCAGAGCTCACAGAGAGCAGCTTTGGGGACAAATAAGGGTTCATGTTTGCACATTCTAAGTATGAGATACATATTAGTAGGATTACCATACATTTATCTAGAAATAGGACACTTTGAGAGTAAAAGGGGGGTTATTAATTATTAAGCCAGGACAATGGACAGAAGCCAAGATTGTCTCAGGCAGGAATGTACAGTCCCCCTGTAGGTAGGTAGGTATCCGTTCATTTTGAAAGTTACTTTTTATGTGTAGGGTGGCAGAATATTCTGCCCCAAAATATGCCACTTTGGTGTAAGGATTATTTCAAGTTGAAGGTAATTAAGAAGCATATATAAGAAAAGCTCTGTACCCTCTATCTGCTAAAAAGCAGGGGCTAGATCTACAAAGGTGTCCTCCCTCCTTACCTCTATCAGAAGCGCATCATCAGAGAAACCTTAGGCTCTTATCAGCTTGCCGATGGCACCCACAAAACCGACTTTACTCACTAGCCTTTCTCTACCTCATAGTGTTATGAAGGTATAGCTTATACACAATAAAAATCACTCATTTTAAATGTACATCATGGTGACTTTTAGTAAACCTGTATGGTTTTGCAAGCATTGCTACAGTCCAGTTTTATAACATGTCTGTCATCCTAAGAAGTTCCTTTTTGCCTGTTAGTAGCCAGTTGCTACTCAAACTCACAGCCCGGAGCAACCACTGATTTGCTTTCTTTATCCATTGTTTTGCATTTTCTAGAAATTTGACATACATGAAATCATGCCATAGGTGGCCTTCTATATCTGGTTCCTCCAGTCAGCATGTTTGCAAGGCCCATCCACCTGGGAAATGCTCGCCTCAGTATGTATTATATGATACAGCACATTCTGTTTATTTGCTCACCAGGTGATGGACATGTTTATTGTTACCAGGTTTTGACTACTGTTTTTGTGTAGATACCTTTAATTTTTCTTCGGTGGATACCTAGGACTACATCTTGGGGTCCCTGGGTAACTACTCTGGGTATGACTTTGAGACCACCAAACCGGCTCTACCACTTACTACTTCCAGCAGCAACACACAGGAGCTCCAGTTCCTCTATATTCTCGCCCATCCTTGGAACTGTCAGTCTTTGATCACAGCCCTTCAGTGGGTGCATAGCGGCACCTCACATAGTTTTAATTGGCATTTTCCCTAATGACCAATGATGCTGAGTATCTCTGAGGTGCATGTTAGCTATTTATGTATCTTCTTTGTCTAGCTTCTTTTTAACAGAATCTTATTACTGCCCTTATAATTCAGACCCAATTCTTTATACAACTGAGGCAGTAAATTTGTAATTTTCTAAACCTGTTGCTGTCCTTTTAATATTAATTTCACTGTTTTTTTGTCCACACCCCCTTTGGTAGGAATAACAACATCCCTTCTTGTATGCCTACGGTATGTGGAAATACTTCCGTTCTGCAACTCCTGTCACTCATTCCTAAGTGACTCTTCCTACTACTTACGTGTGCTCCTGGCTTTTTATCTCAAGCATCTAGCATATAATCTATTGCTAAGAAGTATATTTACTTCTTTATAAGCAGATGAATCTATTTTGTCTGACAGCATCATACATTTCTTCAATAATCATACAAAGCACCTTCCCTTTAAACATGAGATAATCTCATTCTACTTTCCTCTGCTTCAAATAATGGTGTATATGTGCATATGGTGGCCTTGGACAAATGGTGCCTATAATTATTACCATGAAATGTTCAGTTAATTTTTCCCTATTCTGTTATATATATTATGTTATCATTGTTCCTCTTCCCACTGTTAGACTTTACCCACTTTGCCATATTAAGTTTTTGTACAAGTCTGAAAATCTCCGGAAACAATTTTTGTCTGTATGCAACTTAATGGAAGAGTACTTTGAAAAAATACAATAGCATTTAGAGAAAACTTTTGTTTAAAAATTTCTGAGTTTCAAATGTTTAAGACCCATACACTTAATGACTATTTAATTTTTCCTTCATTGATTCAATTAAGCACAAGAGGTTACAACACTGTGTTTCAAAATATGGTCCTCCTACTATTTACATTAGAATCACAAGTGGATTTTGTCATAAAGGCAAGTTCCTGGGTCCCATCAGACTTGAGGGGAGGCCAAGGAAGCTGCATTTTGGCTTGTAGGCTTACTGGGTTATTTTTAGGCACGTGGGTATTCTTAGGACAGGGGAACAGAGCTTCAGCAAGTTATTACCGCCTTTGCTGTTAGATGTTATCAGCGAGGTCTGGCTTTACTGTTAAGCTGGTTAAATAAGGGACAGCCAATGGGGGGATATTCAGTAGAGGCAAGAGGCCATGAGGTGAGCAAGCCATAGGGAGGTATGGGCTGCAAGCGAGCTGGGAGGTGGGCTCAGCAATGATGGTGCTGGGATCATGCTGTCAAGCAGGGCTCGAGTCCCCTGATGGGAATATGAGCTGTAGTTTGACCACCTGCTAAGCACAGAACTTGGGCAGATAGGGACGGCTCCTACCTCAAAGAACTGTGGTGCTGGCTGATTAAGTCTGTGGATCCCCCGTGTTTGGGGCTCAAAACATATCAGTGCTGTCCTCTGCACCAACTCATCCCATTTCAGTTTTGAACCGGAGTACTTACCTTAATAAGGGTCAAGATTCCTTCGTTAGTTTGAGTATCAGTTTCTATGTGGAAATAACCCTTTTCATTTCCTGATGCAAATGTAAAATTTGCTAACCAGTTATCAGAGCCTATTTCATCAGCATCGAACACTTTGATGCGCATAACTTCTACATTGGCCTGATTTTCTTCCACCATGCCTTCATACTGCAAAATAGGAACACACGATCTTTATTTTAATGTAACACAAACCTAAGGGCTATATTTTTAGGCAAGACTAAAATGGAGCAAGTCAATGCATTTGTTGTAAAAGTAACAGTTACCATTTGATTTTCCACTACAGGGATGTTGTCATTCATGTCCAAAATGCGAATCTGAACTTGCGCTTGACTCGCTGGCTTATCTGTTATCTGTCCATTGCCATCTCTTGCTTCTACAGTCAAAGTATAGCTGCTGTGCTCCTGCAGGGTGATGAAAAATACCCAGCTCGGGTGAAAATGACTCATGCCCAAATCTGTCTTTCTGTTCACTTTATCATCAAGGGAATGGACCACAGTATAATTCACTGATAAATGAATTGCTTCTTCTATTACTTGTAAGAAGGTGCTATCTGTCTGCTGTCAGCATTTTTCTAGAAGGGCAGAAAAGCCTAGAGGGGTTGTTGATAGTCAAATTCCTAAATACATTATTGGCGATGTCATCAGGAGATGAGTCTCTCCTTAAAGTAGTCTGCACAGTCAAGTGCCATTCAAAGTGCAGTGTGCTCTCCCCTGGGAGTGAGGCGGGGCTCCAGGACGGGGCTTCTGCCCCACCCTTCCAGTGCAGCTAAAGGTAGGCCTGGAAACCTGGCCACCGAGAAAACCTGGAAAATGAAAGCAGCGCCTGGTGAACTGTCAGACATGCTGAGAGAATGTGTCCAGAGACAGCCCTCAGGTGTTTTCTAAAGGGAGCCCTTCTCTTCAGAACAGTCCCCTGCAGATAATGGTGCTGTTCAGTGGCTGGGGTTCGGGAAGCCAGTACCCGGTCCGGTGCAGGCCAGAAGCTCCCAGCGGAAGGCAGGCTGGCAGAGGCTCTGGAGCCAGCCACGTGGGTTCCAATCTGGCTTTATCGCTTACTAGCTGCACTGACACATACCTGGGCCCCCAACTTCCTTCTGGGTAAACCGGGAGAGCAGCTGGACCTGCCACACAGGGTTTTGGGTGGGCTAGATGGGTCAGGCTAGGTAAAGGGCTGAGCACAGCACCTGGCACATGCAAATACCAGTACGTGGCAGCTGTTATTACGGGCTAGGCTTTCCACACTGCAGAGGCAGCCACTTGTTAAAAAATCAGACCAGTAATTCAAAATAACACTCTTCCATTCAAATTTTATGTGAAAAGGTATATGGTAGAATTTTAGGAGTGATAATATTCTTTCACAAAGACCTTGATAGGCATGCTGGGCATGATCTCCCCTCTGGACAGAAACCATTTTTCCAAGTCATACAGAATGTAATGCCTACACTTGGAGATGACTTGTATTTGGTAATGACACAGTGTTCTTAGGATTATCTTTTTACTCATGCACTCTTAAAACCTTTTTCATCTAAAATTTTCCTGTTGGGTTAGAAATGCAAAAGTGAAATGTCTGAGAGAACAGACTTTCTAGGAAACCTGCTCAAATTTTCCTCCAGTTCGGGATTTACAGAAATTCTTTCCTTTACAAATATTTCTATTACCCTAATAGGACTTCTATTTCAATGTTTTTTCCCTTTACACCTGCATTAGCAGTAGGAGAGACTCCTGACATTTCCCTCAGAACCCAAACGAAATTCTAACGTGCTGCTTCAGGACTCTCTAGCTGGCAGCATTGTGACTAGACAGGCCAGAGGACAGTGCTGACCTCCTATAAACTTTCTGGAAGCCTGAGTTTAAAAGTAAAAACAGGTGATACTAATCTTAAACAAATACATTTTATTTAACCTACAGTATCCAAAATATTATCATTTCAACATGCAAGCAACAAAAAATTATCAAGGTGATATTTCACATTCTTTTTCATATGAAATCTTCCCCATCTGGTGATTATTTGACACTTAGACACATTTCAGTTTGGACCAGCCACATTTCCAGAGCTCAACGGCCACCTAAGGCTAGTGGCTACCACCCGGACAGCACAGGCCTACAAATGGATAATTCCAAGACTCACCTTATGAATCAGGAATATACAGCAAAGTGGGGAGCCAGGAAAGGAAAGAAACACAGAGAGAACCTGGAAATATCAAGCAGAGTTTAAAAGGTGAGCAACAGAAAATAATCAATTTACCTCTCTGTCCAAGGTAATACTGGTTGTGAAAATCTCTCCAGTATCTTTGTTGAGGTGGAATACTGGTGGATAAGCAGGCTCCTGAGATACGAGTCTGTAAGAAATCTTAGAATTCAGAGTGTTGGGCTCGTCTGCATCTGTTGCACTGATTTTCATCACAAGTGTATCTGGCATTAGGAACAAAGGTGTCCAAGATGAAGCTCAACTTCAAGCACATTTCCAGGTGTCACTATTTTCTTTATAGTATCTGCTTGTTCCAAACAGGATTTTAAATGCTTATCAGAACTGCAATTTACCAAGATCAAAAAATGCAACGGGATAAAGAAATGCAAATGGAGAACAGAAACAGGGAAAATAAGATGCGGGCAAGCTGTGGTCGGTGCACACAACCGTAGGAGTGAAGCCCCAGTGACCAGCACAAAGAAGGAAGAGTGGACAGATACAAACACATGCTCATCAACATGCCAGCAGTTCAGAAGTATAGCTCTCCTTTGTATTATGATCAGAGAGAACCCTCTCCTGTAAGTCTTCACACAGAACACTGCACTGAACAAACACTGTCAGTAACCCTTATATTAGAAATACTCTAAGTGAAGGCTGCAAGCTGCTGCCAGCGGGCCAGAGCCAGCCAGCTGCCAGTGTTTGCAAATAAAATTTTATTGCGACACAGCCTTGCCCATTTGGTTACATACACCTATGGGTCCTTTCTGGCTCTGAGACAGAAGAGCTGCTACAGACCTGACCGGTCACGTCAATCTGCCATGCAGGCCTTTGAACATATTATAAACAAGCAGGTCCAAAGCTATAGCGATAGTCTTACTGCTATTTGTCCTATGGGTAATATGCAGCCTCCAGTAAAGTATAGAATTTAGTGTTGTTACCTGAAGGAGTTAAGATGACCCTGGGTATTTACGCATAAAAATAATAGCTTCTTACGTTCTGTGCTCAACTCTTCAATAGACCCGACAAAGACGTCCTGTGTGAATACTGGCTCATGGTCATTGATATCCAGGACTTTGATGCGGAGCTCTAATGGCTTCTCTACGCTGTTTCCTTTTTCATCCAAAGCGTAACCAGTTAGCTGAAATCATGACGTAATAGACGACATTAGATTTAAGCTAAACTACTTGGTGTCAAACAATAGTAAAATAAAACAGAACTATTACTAAACAACCTACTAATAAATGTAAAACTGTTCTTACCAGAAAAGCTGGTGTTTCTTCTCTATCAAGAATGCTGGTAATGTTCAATTCTCCTGTGTCTTTATTAAAGACAAATATACCAAAAGGTGGCTCTGTGATCCCTTTTCCAGTATATCTGTAAGTAATTCTGAGTCCTCTTTCTTCTGCAACATCAGAATGTATCTGCCGTGAAACAAGAGAGCAGCACCTCATGTCAGCCCAGTGACTCCCATGGGGATGCTCTTCATGGGAGATGTTCCTCTGGGTTGTCACATCACAGGAGGGAGGTGAGAGCAAAGGACTGCAGCAGAGAACCTGGGTTCTAATCCCGCCTCAGCCTCTCACTGATTACTGGCACCAGGACAGTTACATGTGCCTTGGTGTTCCTGTCTGTACAGGGGGGAGTCTATGCCTACCACTGAGGGTTGTCACAAACTTCAGATACTGTTAGGGGCACATGTTGGGGCCATCCAATCATAAGGCAAGAATAAATAAGGCCTCCTTCCTTGGGAGGATTATAATAATCAAGCACCTTGCCTGCTTGGACCGCCTCAGCAGTTTCTCACAGTCTGATCTTCCGTAGTTATTAGCTTCATCCTTTATAAATAATGTTATTCTTATGTCTAACTCTTCATTGGAAAATACGTGTCCACGGCCCCCTCTGGATGTTGGCACTGCTGGCGCAGGGCAGGAGCTGTGAGCTAAAGCTGTGCCCCTCCCCCCAGGAGCTTACACCCCATCGAGGAAATCATAAGCTGAAAGGGAGTAAGGGGCAGAGAGAGCGGGGCTGAGGCAGGAGACGGGACTCTGTGAAGGTGACATGAGCACAGAGGCTCGATGCGAGGACACGGCAGGTATCTGTGGGGAGGGCATGCTAGGCCAAAGGGACAGCAGGTGCAAAGGGCAGGAGGCTGGGACAGGCTGGCATTGGTTTATGGGTGTAGAAGAGTGGGCGATGGAGGGGACGGGAGCTGAGGTCAGAGAGGAGGTCGGGGCCAACAGAGACTAAGAGCTAGTGGAGGCCGGGGTAGGGCTCATTCCTGCAACAACAGTGGGAAGCCACTGAAAGGACCTCCCTGAGGAGGGGGCATGATCTGATCTTCTTTCTCAAAAGATGGCTCCGGCTGCTTCCTGAGAACGGACTGGGTGGGGGTGCAGGAGTGAAAGCAGAGGCAGATCAGGCGTGCTTTGGAAATGGGGGTCAGAGAGGACACTGACTTGGATGGGAGGGTGGCAGCAGAGAGAAGACCTGGGATGCATTTTGGGGTGGAACTGACAATATTTGCTACATCTAGAAAAGCTGGCTAGAGTTACACTGTCATTTACTGACATGGGCAGAGCTCACAGAGAGCAGCTTTGGGGACAAATAAGGGTTCATGTTTGCACATTCTAAGTATGAGATACATATTAGTAGGATTACCATACATTTATCTAGAAATAGGACACTTTGAGAGTAAAAGGGGGGTTATTAATTATTAAGCCAGGACAATGGACAGAAGCCAAGATTGTCTCAGGCAGGAATGTACAGTCCCCCTGTAGGTAGGTAGGTATCCGTTCATTTTGAAAGTTACTTTTTATGTGTAGGGTGGCAGAATTTTCTGCCCCAAAATATGCCACTTTGGTGTAAGGATTATTTCAAGTTGAAGGTAATTAAGAAGCATATATAAGAAAAGCTCTGTACCCTCTATCTGCTAAAAAGCAGGGGCTAGATCTACAAAGGTGTCCTCCCTCCTTACCTCTATCAGAAGCGCATCATCAGAGAAACCTTAGGCTCTTATCAGCTTGCCGATGGCACCCACAAAACCGACTTTACTCACTAGCCTTTCTCTACCTCATTTCCCAGAGTTTGGTCCCCCTGGAGATTCAAGGTCTTTTTCCTTTGTCTATCACTTCTCTAAAAATTTATGGTCCCATTAAGATGCTACATAAGCCCAATTCTAACCCAGCCTTCGAGTTACTCATGTCTGAGTACTCCTATGTGTTCAGGAGCCATACAAACACATTAGTGACCTGTTTTTTCCCTGTTAATCTTTGTCAGTCCAGTTTACAGGCCTCTAGCCAGAGAACCTAGGAAGGTTGCAGGATGCTAATACCTCCTTTTGAATTGTAACTCTGTCAAACAACTAGTGCCAGATCCCTTACCTCTTAGTTGAACCAAAGCCCCAAACTATGTGTATTTTCACCACTGATGCTGCGTCTTTCAGAATGGAAAGCAGACTTTCATGTTGGCGCTCTCTGCTAAAAATTAAGGTCTGCTAATTTTCCAGCGTTAGCAGATTGCTAAATAACTCAGTAAGCTCATTGTGTAATTTTCCTTTGGTAATATAAAGTGAAGAAAGAAGTCCTCTCATACCATATTTTAGTAATATGCATATATCCCTGATCCTCACTAAAAGGTACCTTGGCAATCGGATTCTTTTTGGACAGATCCTCTCCCTCCCGAAGAGCCACAGGGGCTGTGATCCAGGCGCGCTTCTGCCGCACTAAGTGAGTACGCGAGGGAAGCAGCTTATTTTCAAGTCCTGTGTTTAAGGCCTACAGCAACAAAATATTACCAGAGATTATTAAGTATCCTAAAACACCCATATGGTACCCTATAATTTACAAAAACTTTAAAAATAGTTGCACAAATTTTAAGACATAAATTTCATATTTCTTACTGGGCTTCATTTTCAAAGAGGAAATGTATACACCCTAGTAAATTTTATAGGCATTCAAGAAATTGTATCCAAACAGGTAAACTGGTTTCATTTTCATCAGTAAGAAAAGATTTCCCAGGATGAAGAGTTTAAAATGCTAAAGAGTAACTTTGTGATCTTACACACAGACAAATCAAACATAACATGTCAAAACTGAAAATGAAGTTACATTTTTCCATAGTAGCTTACAGTTTAAAAATGGATTATTAAATGTTTTAAGACTAAATCTTAGTAACTTGTTGATATCAATTTGATATAAAACAGTGAAAGTGTCAGCCAATGAATTTTAAGCCTGAGGTAATGGATTAAATTGCTTATCTTTTGTTCTTAGGACGTTTAAGTGGAAAACTATTCTATAAATTTTCAGTTGAGCTTTAACAGGTGTATATTTTAATCCAAAGGAAGTTTCAATACAGCTGGCTACTATCTTAAGGTCAGAACTGATTATTATACTAGGTTTATTATTTTATGCATTTTGTTAATCTACATAACAAGTATTTTATTTCAAAATACTTATACTGGTTATTGCTAGGTCGCTATATTTTTCTTTTAGTTGAAAAAATTCTTCTAACTTAAAAAATGAAATTATATTATTTATATTATTAAATAACATTAAAGAAACATTAGGGTAACATTAAAATTTATAATACAAAAATGTAAAACTTCTTTTTCACTCATACTTCAGAGCATTCACTGTTAACAGCTTGATAAATATCTATTATCATCTTTCCTCATGACCATACAGTTGCACATATATAAAGGTCTTTTTCCCATAAAAACAGAATTATATTATTCATTTTACTCTGCCCCTTGATTTTTATTCAGTACCTCAGCAAGGACATTCTTTCATGTACGAATTATTTTACCATTTGTCCACTGATGGACATTCAGACTGTCAAAGAATGGTGGTGCATCCAACATCTTGGATAAAGGTTCCCTGGGCGTGTTTGAGTGGCAGCTGCTGTGTCTCAGGGAATCTGCATTTTTAATCTGGTAAAATAGAGCCAAACTACCTTCCATGAAATTAAGCTTCTAGACCCAAAAGACAGAAGTAATCCCCTTTGTTCCTTACCTCTAAATGGAGCCCATTTCCAAAGTTAACGCAGATCTGGAAAATAAAATGATTCATTTGCTGTTTAATACAGTCTTTCACTCAGTTCAGTTTAAATACTTTGTTAATGAATAACCCACCACCTAAGATATTATAGACATTAAAAAAAAAGTTTAACCCCCATTTCCATTCTCCTTGTTTGTCAAAAGGAAACACATTTTAACTTACCTTTGTCCCCTTGCCACAACCAGGACCAGAGAGAAGCTCCATTCACTTTGGTCTCCCACTTCCAGGGAGCTCAGAACACAACTAACAGCAGGGAAGCAGAGGAAAGAGCTTTGCCTGTGGAATCTGAGCCGGTCTCTGGCCCAGTTCTCGGTCTCCCACGGTTTTCTTCTTGGGGATCCGCTGACAGCCTTCCTCAAGGACTTTGCTGTGAGATTCCCTCCCCACCCCCAGCCCTGCCTTTGGCTTCTGAAGCACTTGTAGCCTATTGATCTCCTCTGGGCCTCGCTTTTCTCTTGGCTGAATCTAAACCAGCACTTTCTAACAGTGGCCACACGTGGCTAATTACACCTTATTTCAAAATACTTACATTGGTTATCACTAGGACATGGACTTATTCTTTCAGATAAAAAAATTCTTCTAATGTAAAAAATGAAATTACGTAACAACATTAAATAAAGATTAAGGTAACATTAAAGTTTATAATGTAAAAATGTAAAATGTCCTTCCTTGGAATAAGTTAGTATTCCAAATGATAACTTCCAAATTGTTATTTGATATTAATAATTCATTTGCTCAATAGCCATACAAGGTAAGTTGCGTAAGAACTTTATTTCCATCACTGCAGGCAAGTCTATTGGACGATGCTAGTAGATTATTGTCCAAGATGTGAGTGACTCGGGGGTCCCTTATTCTCTTGACCTTCTAGGATTCCTGCCTGGCTTTTTCCTCAACTCTGCAAGCCAGTCACTGTCTTTGATTCTGACTCTGCTGACAACACCTCTAGGAGGGCTGGAGGCAAATGGATCCATTACACGTTCACGCTGACAGCTGCTTCCTCATGGGGTGGGGCTTGTTTCCAGGGTGACCATGTTTGCATTTGAGAGCCGCTCTCACCTGGGGGGCTGGCATTCCACCATTAGCAACCCTTAGTTCTGTGCTTATTCAGACCTGTAATTTCACTGTCCTACCCTTGTTTCTCTTATTGTGTCTGTATCATGCCGCCAAAATTTCAGGAGAGTACCCCACCTCACCACTGACCTCTGATCCTATTTGGAGATGTCTCTGTGTTTTATCTTGACTGTATCTACGATCATCTCTCCCCTGCTTTCTCCAAGAGGTATCCTGATTGCTTTCCAGTTAACTCTCATCTGGGAGATTTTCAACTTTCCTACTTATTCTCCTACACTTATCTTCTCAAGAACCTTGTTCCTCCTACTAATCTTTTATCTTCATTGCCACTGGCTAATCAAACATGTTTATTTCCTTCCCATTGACTCACCAGACAGATTTAGAGGCCCCCTATCTTTAAAATAAACCTTGCTTCTGCTGACATTTCATCTATTGCTCTTTATCCTTTTTACTGTAATTCCAAACTGAAATGTCTGTGCTTTTTGCCTTCGTTTGCATACCTTCCATTTGGCATTAACTGGTTATAATCTGTCTTAACTTTGGATTTTCTTAGTTCTGTCTTTTCTCCTCTTCATGTCAGATCATGACAGAAGTCAAGAAGTCCTGGTTAGTAAATCATGGAACATAGTGCTTCCTCTGAGGTTTTCAAGGCCCTTTCACTTATGCACACCCTTTGAAGGCTTCTGAAAGGTTCTGTTCTACATGTGGGTCTTTCACCTTCCTTCTTCCCTCTACCTTATACATGTTCTTGCTTCCACCTCTGCAAAGACAAAGTCAAGGATGGTGGACATACAGCTTCTACTGTGAGCCTCTCCAGGGCTGAGGAACAGCCATGGCTGATTTTCTACTTTACAGCTAGATGTGTTCTTTCTTCCTCGTCCCTGTATTAGCAGTTTACCCGGCTGGCAATGGCCACAGTAGTGCCCCCCAGATGCATGTATATCCAAAGGTGGCATGACATGAAAAGCAAGTGAATGGATGACTTCTATCCACATGCTCCCGGGATGGGAAGTTTGAAAGGAAAGACTACATCATCAGGAGACATCTTTAAAATGCGATATATTTCTTGCCCAGACATATTGTGCAGGCCATATTGAGGGGTTGGCTAGATCAAATGTACACCATCTTTATTCTTCCTGAGAATCTTTGGGGCATAGCAGAAGGTATAATAATTACATGGTAATTCAAGTAGATACTGTTCTGGCAAAGTTATCTGTTTTATAGGATATAAATAAAAGGGGGCAACGTACAGTCCTTTAGTCAAATGTAAACTCTTCATAAGAGTATCTTCATTGATTTTCATTGGAATGTAATTTCGAGAGTTATTTGTTAAGAAGCACAGAAAATAACATGGTTACAAACAGTGTTTTGTAAACTTAAATGTGTATTCTGCTCACTGGGGATCTTGCTAAAATGAAGATTTCAAGTCAGTAGGTCTGGAGTTCAGCTTACACTTTGCATTTCTAACTGGCTCTTAGATGATGCTGAAATTGTAGACTCTTGAAGAGCAGTTTTGTTCTTGAAGAACAATTTTGCAGAACATGATACAGAATATCGATCATTTGCTTAGGGGTAAAGACAGGGAATCACACTTGCTCATATTGTCTCAACAGTCACCAGAAGAAACTTCATCACTTGTTTGCTAATATGTTGAAAGCAGAGATACTTGGTTTCACTAACTTACTTTTATTTAACTGAAAAATTTTTTTAAATTGTAAATATACACACAGTCAGAATGAATAGTACAACGAACATTCACAAGCCTACAGACCACAAACACCTTGTCTCAATTACTTGGTACATGCTTTGTTAAAAATAGATTTAAAAATTCAGGAATAACTTTAGATCTACACAAATGTACAAAGATAGTGCAGAGTTCCCTTGCACATTTCCCCTTAACAAATCTTATGTAACTATCATGCATATTGTATTGAAATACTTATGATATTAACATTGGTATATTTACATAAGGCATGGTTGACTAAATTCCCAACTTTATTCAGATTTTGTTCTTTTTCTATTCCAGCATCCAAACTAGGACCCCATATTACATCTGTCATGCCCCCTCTGGTCTCTGACAGTTTCTCAGGCTTTTCTTGCTTATGACCTTCAGTTTTGATAGTGGCCAAGTAGCCTGCAGACTGTCCCCCGACTTGGTTTTATATGTTGTTTTCTCACAATTAGGCCAGGGCAATGTGATTTTGGAAAGAACACCATGGACTCTGATGTTTTCATCATGTATCAGGGGTATGTGATATCCATGTGACACTACTAGTTAAGGTAACCTTCGCAGCTTTCTCCAGGTAAAGCTACTACTTTCCTTTCCTATTCTAGCCTTGCAAGTGCGACACCAAGTATTCACCCTCAGGGCGGGAATGGGCCGGGGAGAGAGATTAAGCTGCATTTCCTGTGAGAGGGACATCACACAAATTATCTGAAATTCTTTGTAAGAAATATTTCTCTCTTCTTCCCTCATTTATTCATCCATTCAGTCATTTTATCAGGCTTATTTTAAGGACTCCTGCATATTTATCCTGTGGGTTATAAACCAATACTTAATTAAATTGTTGTTCAAATAGCTCTCATTTTTGCCATTAGAAGATCTTTCAAGTTGGTTCTGTGTCCCTTTGACTTGTCCCCATCTTTCTGTTTTTTGAGCTCTTTATTACCATCCAGCATCACAAGATGATCCAGGCTCATCTTGTATGTCACCTAGCCTAGCTTTAGAACAAGCCGTTTCCCCAAGGAGCCAATTTCCAGTGTTGGAAAATGGTGTGGAGAAGCCCAGATCGGGTGTGGGTGTAGCACATACATATATAGGGCTTGTCTCCTCAGCCACTTTTTAGGGGAGGTCATAAAGGTAGAGCTTTTCTTAACTTTACTACCAGATACTCTGTTTTAATTATCATTTTGGAGTAGCAATATCATCTGGGAGAAAGTGACTTTGGAAATGATGTTTCGTCTCTGTACGCAAAGAAGTTGTGTTTTTAGAGGAACCAGAAAAATCCTTCAAAAGGTATTCCAATTTACTAAAGTTAAAAAATTAAAGAAAAATCTCTACCATTGGATCCTATGCATCTTCTAAGAACTGGCTTTCCTAGAAACTGGCAAGAAAATAATTTTAATTGGCACAGGCATGAGAGAAGGTCAAACATTACTGCAAAAATAATATCAAACAATGTTCTCTTTGTTCTCAAGGTTGCAGCTTTAGCAAAGGCTTCCTGCTCTGAATTCACCTTGATGAGTTTAATAAGCAGAACCCAGGAGGACTCATGAGTCACTGGGTGACAGCTGCTCCTGACTGACAGGTCCTCAATCTGAAGTTCACAACCTTGAAGTGTTCTTCTGTGTTTCTGTGAGTCCATGGGGAGGTGACCCCATGCCATAAACTTTAATATCTCAGATGAATAGCTGTTTTATGACAGATGAGATTTAGAGGGCTACAAAGTAGTTTAAAAGCTGTTTCATCAGGAAGGCATTCTAATGCTTTCTATTTCCATTAAGCCAGAAGTAACTTTACAGAGAAGGTCGTTAGTGTGGCCAACCGACAATCTTGCACACTCAAATAGCAATGACCTGCACAAGCCTGTTGCTGTTCTTGAAACTCAATCCACTTTTGGACAATCACAGAAATACCTGTGTTATTCCCTTTTTCATACAACCTTTCAACCAAGTAGAATTTTAAAATAATTCTTTCTTTTTCCATTTTACTGTATGGAAAGCAAAATCAGAAACTGTCCTGGGGCCTTTGGTTTACCCCCGATCAATTCTAAAAGTGTTTTCAGCTCTGGGTGAAATAATCTAAAGAAAATAAAATGATATAAAGGCCATGGATGGCACTTGTTTATTTCTTCTGATTTTTCTAGTTGTATAGATAGAACTGGAAATCTGGTCCTTAGTAGACTCTGTAGGCCCCAGGT